AGAGGGGCAGTCAGCTCACCCTGCTTTAATTGAAAATCCATTCAAACCAAATGCTTTGCCCATCCAACATATATAAATGAGGAAACTAAAATGTAAGGTTACCTTTTATCAACACAATCTGGAGTTCTGCATTCCTGTAGAACAAAGGTTGTAAGTGGACCCCGGGATACCACCCAGAGCACATTCTAGGTCATGTGAACAAGTGGGCTTGGCTCCCTTTTTGTATTCTTCACAAGTAACTTATTTCATTGTAAACCCAAAATAAATATCAAGTTCTCAAAGCTACAAAAGCTGACCTTGTTTCTCCAGCCGAGCTGCCTGTTCTGATGGCATGCTCTTTAAAACACACCGAAACAAAAGAAAAGCCTGGAGGCTGTGACAGTAGCCATTAGCAAAGACAAAGATCCTTCAGCGGTGGAGAAGTTGTGCAGAGACGCAAGTACAGACGGAGCAATGTAGGACGCACAGGCACAGCACCAGTCCGGGGGGACATAGGTGACATCTGCAATGCGGCTCCAAATATCTTCACTTTCATTGATAACATAGCTAGAGGCAGGGACGGGTTAACTTGCACTGGCAGATCATTAGTGCTAAGCATGATTACCTCGATACGGATAGCTCGCCGTGTAGATTTCAGCACCACATGAGGACGGGTCAGCTCATTAGAGAGCGCTGCTGTGCTTCCATTCAGACATCGCTGGGCATGTACTGTCACAGGACGGCGATCGTACGGCCCTCGTCCTCTAATGATCGCTGGAGGAAAACGCCCTTCGCATACCCGGGGGTGTAAGATATAGATCATATATTCCAAGTCGATGCCCCGCACACTGATGACGAGAAAGGGAGGGCTGGGAGGAAGGCACTGCCCTCCCTACACGGCTAAAAATACACTCTGCAGTCACACGCTGCACCCCTTCACATCTGTAATATTAGATGTTTGGACATTAACCTTTTAGGAACATTTGTTCGAAAGGCCTTATGGTAATCAGTCGGCTGATCTACATAATTGATCCATGAATTCCTGTGCCCATGCAGGGGGGGTCTTAGTGATGAAGCTCGTCGCAGCACCAGGAAGCTCAGGATGTATTGTATCCCGCACCAGGACAAAGTCGAACACCTCGGCAATAGCCGCCTGGAGCTCCGATCTCCGATTGCTGAACTCCCAGGTACAAGATATATTTACGGCCTTACGCTCAGAGAAAGGAGTCGGAGTCTCTTGAGTTTGCGTTCAGTGATGATACTCGAGAGGCTCTTGTCTGGAGGGTCTCGTAGGAAAGAGACTCGAAGATGAGGACCGGTGGGACATCCTAGTTCTGGATATGTGTGTGTTCTGAGGACTTCTGGGACTTGTAGTGCCTTGCTGGCTGTGAATTGTTTGTCCGGACACCAAGCTTCCCTTTTGCCCTGCTAGCTTGCCTGGTAGTCTTTGACTGCGGCCAGGGCATGCAGGACCCTCAGACCCTTCGCTCCTGATCCTGCTCAACCACCGAAGAGGCTCAACAGACTAACTCCTGCCTTGCCATCCCATGTGGATCCCGCATTTTTCTGCAGAGTGACCTGCGGCCTTAAGTGTGAGTTGTGACCCTCTTTTGTTGTACCTGGATTACTGCCCCTGTGCCCCTGGGCTCTACCCGTGCTGTGCCCTACTGCTTTTACCTCCTTAGTTTTGCCTGGATCGTTGCCCTTTGTCCCTGGACTCTACCCCTGCTGTGCCTTGTTGCTGTTATCCTTTGCTTTGCCTGGATTCCTGCTCTGTGCCCCTGGACTCTGACCATGCAGTCCCTTGCTGTTTTGGCTCTTTGTTGTGCCCAGATTGCTACTATCCTAGTGTTGACAAACCCCTAATAAAGAACCTCCTGGTCCTAAAATCCACTCTTGGTCTCCATGTGTGATATGTGTCTCCCACAACCTCTGTCACAAACATCAATACACCTAGGAACATGCTAATCACGCCAGCGATCTGCATTGGTATGTACCTACAGCTCACAATGCTGCCTGCACATTACTCTGTACACTGCTGGACACAGGACATGACACACCTGAAGGTTACACCTATAGGAGCTCTAACAAGCCCCCCAGAAAGATTACTAGTGTAAGTTTTTATTACAGAGAATTATAGAAAAAAACCCAGTAATATAATATATTAACCCTTGCAATACAGGGTAGTCCCACTGCAAGGTGTAAGTGCTCATTTTGTTTAGGGGGCTAAAATAAGATACTCACCTGAACTGTGATCCCCACTGGCTCCTGGACCAGTCCCTTCAGTCTCGCTCCCATAAGTCATCACTTCTAATACAGTGCATTGGATGTCAGGACGCCAAGGGGCATGCCATCACTGGGGCAGTTGGGCAAATATGTTGGAGGCATTGAGAGCCTATTAACACTATTTCCGGTGCTGTTGAAGCCCAGAACACACTGGATCACATAGATCAAGTCAGGCAGCGTTCTGGGTTGGGAGGGGGTGTGTCGGCGACATTCATGTCAATGGCGACGCAGATACTCACCCAACAGAACGTGAGGTACAGGACTGCCCTCCGTTCTGCTGCAGTGTGATCTTAAAAAATGCTGCATGCACTATCCCGGTGCGGGCGGGGTGTGTGTGTCTGCAGTGCCATTGACATGAATGGCACCGACACGCCCCCCTCCTGCCCCAGAATTCTGCCCGGCTTGATCTATGCAATACAGTGCGTTCTGGGCTTGAACCACAGTGGAACACAGTATCAGATACCAATAGACTGATGCATTGTATATTCCAAGCAGGTAGCATGGCTACCTGAAATGGTGCAATTTTCTGCCAGGTTACCCAGAAAAATGATTACCGGGACAGTAGATTTGACTTCTACCAGTTTATGATGCAGTCTAGACTGTGAATAGAGAGAAGGGCTGTTGAGGTCAAAGAAAAGTGCATGCTGATAAACCCTGGGGGAGGGCTCCACTGTGGTTCTGACACAGGCTTGCAGGAGCAGACCAACTGGAAGACTGGAAGGAACAGCTGCACGGCCCAGGGTCCTCAGCAGGCCCATGCATCAGTTTTGGTGTTGTGCTTGGGGGATTAGGGTCCAGACACACCCGGTGCGTACACCTATGAGCATAGTTCACGTTAATAGTGCCATATTTCAAATGCAAAAGCTTCTCAAATTATTTTAAGACCTCATATAAAATAAGGGTTGCCAACCTTTTCTTTTCCCCTGTCCTACACAGTCTGGGTTCCAGCTGGCCTAAAACCCAGAAACAGCACATAAAGGACTCAAAACCCAGACTGGCCGGGACTCTCAGGTGGCAACCCTATATAAAATTCAATTGCCAGATGTTTAATTCTTAAAGCTGAGCTCCAGGCACCACCATTTCAGTCTAAATATTTTCCCTAAATAGCCACAGAAGTTATACAGGTGAAACTCGAATAATTAGAATATCGTGCAAAAGTAATGGCAGTAAGTGCTGCAAAAGGGGCCCAAACCAAGTACTGAGGACATATGCATGCTTGTACTTTTCAGAGGTCCGATATTGTTCTATGTACAATCCTTGTTTTATTGATTGCGTGTAATAATCTACTTTTCTGAGATTGTGGATTTGGGGTTCTTGGGGTTTTCATGAGCTGTAAGCCATAATCATCACAATGATGACAAATCACGGCTTGAATTATCTTGCTTTGCATGTAACGAGTCTCTCTCATATATTAGTTTCACCGCATAAGTTGCATTAGTGAAATAAATGAACTTTGCACGATATTCTAATTATTCGAGTTTCACCTGTAGATCCACTTTGTGAGCACCAATTTTATTTTTTGCAAACCTTCCTATTACCTTGTTAAAGGAGAACTAGGAGGTCAGGGCTTTTCCCCATAGTTCTCCTTAGGGTAACGGGAGGACACAAACTAGCGTCCTCCCGTTACCCTAAGCTCAGTATATAGGGAGCTACAGCTCGCGGTATACTGAGACGCTGGAGCGGATGCCGACAATTATGTCTGGATCCGCCCAGCTGCATGAGTGACAGCTGGCTCTGCCTATCTAGAGGCAGAGCCAGCTGTACCCTCCCCCATTCTTTCCGCCAGTCAGCGCTGGGGAGAGTGGAATCCAGCCCCTCCCCCTTTCACGGCAGAGAGCGGTGACAGGATCGTGAACAGCCCCCCCCCCCCCCCCCATAGTTCTCCTTTTTAAAGGAGCAGCAGCAGCGTCATCACTGCACTGTACATGGCCAGTACAGAGAGCAGAGCTGTAAGAGGGGCCCAGCAGGTCCTCCTATAACAGTCTGCCTGCAGGAAACTACTGGAGGGGGGTGGATACAAGACCAGGTCACATTGCACAAGGAAAAAGACCAGCAGTGGGCAGTCTTTAACACAGAAAGCTCCTGCAAAGGACACATTCTTACATTAGATTACCTGCACAGATCTGGAAGAAATACATAAAGCAAATCAAGAGTCAACTATGAATACACATGTCTTCTTTTTTCCCTGGTTGCCATGGGCAACTGCTCCAGATTTGTTTTCATAAATCCCCCTCAATTTATTTAGTGTTGGATAGAGTGTAGAGGGTTTAGGCTAATCGGTCATGTTTTTATTGCTGTCTGTGTCCCCATTAGGGAGGTTCGCCCTCTATTTGTTCTGGGGATCTTTATCACCGACGCTGAAAGGAAAATCCAAAACTTTGGTCACCAGAACAGGAAAAGGTGGGAAATCTTTCATTAGGGGCAATAGTCTCATTGACCCTGCTGACCTCCCAGGGATTTCCCTCACTTCCTGTTGTGGCTATCGAACAGGAAGCAAAGATAATTCTGAATGGTATACAAATGGTAAAATAAAAAGCTGACGCGGTTATAACTAGGGATGCACCGATACTGAGTATTTTGGCGAGTACTCGTTCTCGCCCAAATGTTCCGATACCAGAACTTCCAGGCAGAGGGAGATCTCCCTCTGGCTGCAAGTGCCAAGGGAGCATTGAGCCGGTTTACTTTACGATCAGGGAGCTGGGCAGTGGGTTATGACCCACCTTCTGGCTTCCTGATTGGCTAGGAATCCGGCTTCACTTGTTGCTAGGCAGCCTGGCTTCCGAACCGATCAGGAAGTCAGGCTGCACGTAATGACCTGCCTCCCCGCTTTCTGATTGGTTAGAAAGCAAGGCTGCCTTGGAACATATTCCTAGCCAATCAGGGAGGCAGTTCATTACTTCCTGATTGGCTAGGGAGCCGGCTTCATGTTTTCTTGACCAATAAGGAAGCCAGGACGCAAGTCATGACCCGCCACCCTGATTGGTCAGGAAGCCTGGCGGCCTAAGTGAAGCCGTATTCCTAGACAATCAGGTCATTACGTGCAGCCTGACTTCCTGATCGGTTAGGAGGCAGGCTGCCTAGTAACAAGTGACGCCCAGCTTCCTGATTGGCTAGGAAGCCGGCTTCACTTGTTGCTAGGCAGCCTGGCTTCTTGATCAATCAGAAAGCAAGGTGGCACCTCATGACTCAACACCCAGCTTCCTTATTGGTCAGGAAGCCAGGCAGCCTGGGCAAGTGAAGCCGGTGCTCTTTCGCTAGAACCCCCGGCTTCACAGGCAATCAGGAAGCCAGGCAACAGGTCATGATCCGCCTCCTGATTTCCTGATAATCGGGACACACGGCTCCGCTTCTCGGTATCGGCGAGTAGTGGGGGGAAATCTATAATTATAACCCATCCAAAACAAAAATAAAAATAAAAAAAAGTT